TTCACTATAGTATTGGGAAATACTGGGGGCACAAGGTAAAATGTTTTATGGTGGTATGAAATCTTTAATGAATAACAACTCGCTCTTGGTCAAATTATTTAGAACTAATTCCTTCTTGACTCATCATATATTATTGTTACCTAATATTATTAATAACACAAGTTGTCAGTAAAGAATTAAAAATCTAAGAGTGAAGAGAGGATGATAGTAAGGCAAACAATGCAAAAGTTCTCAAGACAATAAAGATGAGCGAGTCCCAAGGCAAAATTTTTCTGATCCATTACCCACGCAATTTTCAGCTCAGTATACATAATTCTTAGGTTTTCATTTTGTTTATATAGAAGTTAAGGAAACAATGCAAATTACAATGATTTCCTGCCTTTTTGATGCAAGATTATTTTTGCCTTGGCCAGAGAGTAACTACAAAAATTCCGTCTATCAAATTAGTATTTATCTGTGCATTGTTCTTTTCAGATACATTATTTAGATAAGTTTATAACATTTATAACTTGAAGAAGTATACAGTGGCATGCAGTATCATTAATTATTAAAACTCTATTCATTTCATATTATAATGTCTTGATGTCAAATATAAGCTTGTATAAATTATAATTTAAAAAAAGTGTATAATAATATAATCGCGTATCTATTTTGAATGTGACGTGCGCGGCATAAATTTTAAATGATGACTATTATTTCGTATTTTAATTGCGTTAATACTCGTTTTATTCGAGAAGTGAAAGTTATGTAAATGAATATGAGATAATCTCTTGCGTACAGATGATGTTCAGGTAAATGCGTTTAGGTTTCTGTTGATGCACTAAACGTGACATAAATATTTATGTAATGAACTAGCCCAATCAAGCTTTGAATCTTTCAAATAGCCATATACTTAACTATACAAATTAGGTAATTCCAAGTTCGGCTTGTCTTAGGTACATAAACTATAAAAACTTTTTAACAAAAAAATAAAAACCGACTTCAAACAAAAGCACTAAAAAGTAAAAAATAACTGATTGGTAGTTTTCATTTACTATACATACCTAATCAAATATTTTCGAAGTCGGTGTGCTTTGCTTTGTATGGGCTGGCACCGATTTCGAAAATATTTGATTAGGTATGTATGTATTTAATAGGTAGGCTTTAATTACTTAGCCAAAGCACACCGACTTCGAAAATATTTGATTAGGTATGTATAGTAAATGAAAACTACCAATCAGTTATTTTTTACTTTTTAGTGCTTTTGTTTGAAGTCGGTTTTTATTTTTTTGTTAAAAAGTTTTATTTTTACCTTTTTAGTGTAGACAGTAGTAGCAAAGTAAGAATTCTAACGTGTTAGGCTTGTCAAATCAAACAAAATAAGCCCAAACTCAAAGTATCTACTATTAGCTGTTGAAGAGTTCCACCTATCCACCTTCTGGCCTTACCATCAGATCAGGTCAACAATACCGAACCAATGTACTATCAACGGAAATAGAAACACTTGCAAAGTTTCAAGTCATTATGACAATTAGAAGTAGGTTAAATCCATCATTAGCTATTTTTCCACCCTTAGGGGTGGTATTTTTTTTTGAAATTTAAATGGGACCAATCTGGAAGTATACCCTTTCAAACAAAACAAAAATTGTCCAAATCGGTTAATAAATGACGAAGTTCTGAGGTAACAAACATAAAAAAAAAAAAAAAAAACAAAAAAAAAATACAGTCGAATTGAGAACCTCCTCCTTTTTGAAGTCGGTTGAAAAGCCGACAAATATTCTTTCCACGCAAGAGTGGAAATCGAATGTGTAACTTGCTTTATCCAGGTGACATATTAAAGCCTTAGTTACTCCTATTGAATATTACAACCCCAAAAGTGTTATATTTTTAAATCTACATTTTGTAGATTTAGCTACGATGTCACAGTCAGACACACAGATACCTGTGTATCTGTCTGTACAGTACAGTGTTTTTGCGCCGGGGATTAAAAATTATCACAAACAGAATATAATATAGTTTCAGAAAAATGAGGACTTCTCTTGGGTTAGAGAGAGTCTGTATAGTTGTAAAGTAATACCTATAGTACCTATATATTTTGATCTCTTATTCGATAAGCAAATAGAAATAGTACATCTATTTCTACATCATTTATAATAAATAGCTCAGGCAAAGCACTGGACCGATTGGGCTGAAATTGTTACAGCCTTTATCTCATTAATCCCTAATCTAAATCTAATGAATGTTTGTTAATCAATCACGCCAGAACGGCTTAGCGAACGGTTGAACGAACAAACGAACGAACGAACGAACGAACGAAAGAACAAACGGACGGATGGACGGACTTACGGACGGACGAACGAACGAACGAAGGAACGAACAACAAACAAACACACTTTCACAAATTTATAATATTATATGGATATATTTAAGTTTCCTAAATGTGTTCATTTACATACATCTTTTTTAACAACATACATATAATATAATATTTATATAATATTTGTAACCTTATACAAACTTTCATCCCCATTTTCACCCCCTTAAAGGATTACTTCCGGAATCAAAACTCTCTTTTGTCCTTCCCAGGACCTCAAACTATCTTTTTACCAAACTTCATCTAAACCGGTTCTGTAGTTTCGGAGCCTATTCGGTACAAATAAACGAACAAACAAATCTTTCCTCTTTATAATACTAGTATAGATAGTACAGATAAATAATTTGGCTATACTAATAATATTTATTTGAACGATTATGACAAGAAAATGACTTACGCTATAATTATGAACTCTGTGAAATAAACATAATGAGATCCAACACCTCACTTCCGCACAGCATTTTACGCTTTCTGCCGATATCGAGACACTTTCATGTGGTGTCTTAACTAGACCTTAGAGAATTTTTATTTGTTCACTAGGGTGCGCCCTGGGTGCCTTTTGTATTTATAGTATTATACTAGCGACTCACCCTCGCTTCGCTTGGGTTCGTCCCTAGGTGATTCTTCAAAATTGACATAACTTTTTAACATTGAAAATGTTTTTTTGCCGCTTCAGTATAGGCCCGATTTTCATCGAAAGATCGACATCGCCCTGGTGTCGTGGATTTTGAGACTACGTGGTTGATTGGCTACAAAATGTAAAAAAAAATTGGAAAACACTCAAAGGATTTTTTTAAATAAATATCTGGATTTGTTCTATTTCTCTTCTGACATCCCTCTGACTCGGTTTTTAGCATAGTTTTTCTATGTACAGACATTCGACCTCTACAGTTTTATTATATGTATAGATAATATTAAATACTTTTTTGTAGTCTGAACGCGTTCAAAATCGGTTGTTCTGCTAGTAATTAATATGTTAAAAATTTAATTCAGTTCATTTGGCAGATTCATTTTTAATGTACTCTAAGGTCGTGGCAGACACGAGATCTGTGGATTTTTATGAACCGATGGAAATAAAACATACTAAACGTAAGTAAAGCTTACCACAATACATTAGTGAAAACCACACTCGTAATCGATTAAGCCGTTTTTGAGATTAGCGCGCATAAACTCACATACAAACAGACAAAAAATCTAAAACACATTGTTTTAGTTTTTATTGCGTTTATAAAGACCCCCAATAATATTTTTCTCAAATATCGTCCATGTACAGAGAGCGATCAGTTACAATTTTATTACATACATAGCCAGTGCCACCTTTTGGAAAATTTTATTACCAACAGTGACCAGCCGTTGCAGCGTGAAGGTGAAATAAACATACACACGCACAACACATACATACAACAGTACAAATTTTCGCTTTTATAATAGGAGTGAAATGATGAAAAATGATATTTGAGATCGAAAAATAGGAATGGTTTAATTAAAAAAAGAAAATGAAAAGGTTTTAACAATTTGTAAAAACTACGAAGGCACTGTAACTAGTCTTCTACATACGATGTCGATAGGTATTAGTTGTTAGTTAGCCATTTTGTTATTATTTGAATAACAAAATGGCTCATATAAAAATAAGAAAAATTGAATGAATTTAAAAATCACCTTAATCTTGAGAAAATTGTACCTACCTCGTTTAGATTTGTTTATAGATGATATAAAATAACTAAGTTCAATGAATAGAATAAAAATTAAAACATACCAATAGAATAAAAACCAATGGGATGTTTACTACCTCAAATATTTTCCATGAGAGTTCATGTTCACTGCATATATTTCTGAGATACATTTAAATTATAATTATAACCTAAGATATAAAATTGAAATGGGTAATACTGAAATAAGCTCTATATAACATAAAAACTAAAATAAAAGACATATTAATTATTTATTTATTTTTTTATTTCGTTGGTCCTATTATTAAAACATAAAAAACAACGTTGTACATCATATATTATTATTATTTATATGGTACTAAGGTTTGCTTAACTCTGTCTACGGTATTTAAACTAATGGTGAATATAAATAAAATAGTGAAAAAATATGTATATGAAGTGTCCATATAATTGACAGCTACTTTACTGTTCACACAAGCAATGTTATCTTATGGATGGTTATGGTAATGATATTAGTAATGATTTAGTAGGCAGATTTTGTATAAATATATGTATATAGCCTCTTCCTTATAAAAATGTAAGAATAATAAATTGTTATTACATTATAATAACATTTTCAGTTTTATTCACTTACGAATATAAGTAATGTTTACATTCGAATTATTTTAAGAAGTGTAGTGTAATGATGATTTGTGTTGGTGTAACATTACAACGTCACTCCCGAGGCGCACGCGAAGCCAAATACATTCGCAAGCGAAATTTTAGTTTTATACAATCGCCAATGACAGCATTCGCCTTGGCGTACGCCTAAAACGTTATTTCAGTAAAGACCATACCAGCACCATCGAGTAAAGTAATCTATAATATAATATTTACAAAAATCAACATATCTTCGGTTTATCTGGTAACAATTAAGTAACAAATGACTACATTGCAACTATTTCTATATACAAAAAATAATTTCAAACATATACCTATTTATCCCATCCGTGGTGTTCATGATGTTCGTGATGCTCGTGATGTACCGGTACCCAAACTTTTTTCCAGACTGGTTTCCATACTTTCTTCCACGCTGGGACTTCTATTGTTTTCCATACAGGAACTTGAATTTGTTTCCATTTCTCGACCCATATCTTCTTTTGTACTGGCACCCAGATTTCTTTCTTTATGGTTTTCCATATTTGTACTTTCTCTTCTACCCACTCTTGTTTCTTTTCAGTCACCCACGCCTGCTTTTTCTCGGTTCTCCAGATTTGTTTCCATTCTTCTTTCCATTCTAATTTCTTGTCAGTTACCCATTCTTGTTTGTGTTCAGTTTTCCATATTTTCTTCCAAACAGGTTTCCAGATCAATTTTTTTCTCCATAGATCATGACTAGTGTATTCCCATCCATGCTCATCTTTACCCAAGTATTTTTCACCGGGGACACCCTCTTTTACCCATTCAGGAACAAAATTCTGTTTCCATTCTGGAACTTGAATCGCCTTTGTCACTGGTACTTGAATCTCTTTCCATACTGGTTTCCACACTTTTTTCCAGTCAGGAACTTGCACTTCTTTCCATATGGGTACTTGGACTTCTTTCCAAATCGGCTTTTGGACTACTTTCCAGGCAGGAACTTGTTCTTCTTTCCATTGCTGAACTTTCTCAGTTTTCCAGGCAGGTACTTTTTCTTTTTTCCATTCGGTTTTCCAAATTAATTTCTTTTCGGTTTTCCAAATTTGTTTCCAATCTTCTTTCCAAATAAGTTTTTTCTCCCATACTCCTTCAGGTTCTGAGTGCCAGCCAGCAGTTGGAGAACGTTTTTCTCTAGAAACTTCTACATTTTCTACAGCCTCTTTGAGTGGAATAGCTATCGAAGCAGCAATAGCCACAGCCAACCATATCTGAAAATAAAATTTTATATTTATGATTTCGGACCTTTCTGATATCATTTATTATCTTATTATTACTGTCTATTGTTCAAAATTATAAATTTGAATGTATATTAAAATTCTTTAAAATTTATAAAAAAATAAATGAAAAAGTAATAAACATACATAATTAATAATGCCTTTGTTTAATTATATGTTCAATCAACAATTTTAAAATTATAACGTTTTAAATTAATTGCAAGCTCAAACGAATTATTATTAATTAAGAAAAATATTTGAATAAATAGTCAGTTGTTTTATTTTTGCTTTGAATTTTCTTGGTGTTCTATATGATTAGTGTATTGGTTACTTTTATAAATAATTTCAATTGACAAGATCAACTTTTAAAAATAAACAGTAAAGGAATATTCAATAATAAAATAATTACAGTGAAAAAGATTTTGGAAATTATCAAAATGTAAATATAAAATTATTTTTCACTAAACACTCTTTGCCGAAATTTTTAACACAATATTAAACCGAAATTAATCACTTTTAATAATCTATGGCATGATTTTCGATCGATATTAAAGATTAAAAAATATCACGTTAGATTAAAATCACATCATCACATCACGAATATATCACCCACCGTTATCGCCAGCGTCCTCATTTTGAGATGGAGGTGCACGCTGCTGCGACTGCCTGAACTGCGCCCGCGCATGTCTATTTATGAACGAGCCCCTCTCTTGAAAGTTACGACTCCTACGCTCAGGATTATTCGTGACGCGATTTTCTCAAACGTGACCAGAGATGAGACCCTTGGTTCAAAAGTCATTTTAGTTAAACACATCGCCGGTGTCGAATCAGTTAGCAATTACTAACGGTTACGTATTCAAGTCCAGGCTGCATACACATTTAATGATATCTCTAAGTAATCAAAGTGTACCCTAAGATCCTTAAGTGAAATGATGCAAATACCAAAATAGTTCAGTCAAATTCATTAATTTTATTATATTAATTTGCTTTTAGTTTATTCAATAATAGGTAAATATACTATATGTACGAAATATTACTTGTAAACCGTTGTTCACCGTTTTCGGCGTTGATTTAAAAATAAATATTGTTTAACCTCGTTATTATAAAGATAAGTTATTGAAATTTCAGCCCTGTAGGTCCAGTCATTTAATAAGAAATTAAAAAGATTATTTGAGGAACTTTAACGATTTTATATTTTCTAAAACTATATTTTAATATTTTTATATTTATATCAGTTGTTTCACGTTATATTTGATTTTATTATTACCGGTTTTATTTATTTTACTTTACTAATCCATAAGTCCTTATCCTTAATTATCTATAAAAATATTATCTTAAGAAATATGCAGGATCCCTCAAAAACGGCGTATTTTTACTAAGATGTAGCATATACATATATGTATTTCAAAGCTATAAACTATCAGGGGTAAAACAAATATTTATTTTAAAATAATGAATAGACGGAGCGTCAAAAATGAAACAATATATGTATATTGTATATTATAATAAACGAAAGTGTACATAATTTCACAATACGTCTTCTACTAGCGTCACATTTGCAATTGGGGTTAAAATATTATCTAATGTAACCGACTCACTAATTAATATTCAATTAATTGAATACAAGCGCCGCATACAAATAAACATATTGCTTCGTCCAATGTGAAGTCCGTTTATATAAATAATACAGCTTTGTTTGTCATTTTTATGCAAAAATATTATAAGGTTTAACATCTTCTTGATATCTTGGGTTGTTAATTGTTATATTTCAAGGTGCCAAAAATCATACGTATTACTTAATTGTAAAAATTAAGAATACATTGTCGTCTTAGTTTTAATTCTGCCCACATTGGTCTCTGTATTATCTATGTTACATAGGTAATGTGCAATAAAGTATATAATATACTAGCGACTCACCCTCGCTCCGCTCGAGTTCGTTCCTACTTACGTTTTAACGTTTAGTATAGATTTCTCAGAAATGAGCTATTTTCGATTTCAGATTCGGCCTCTAAATCGATAATAAAAAATATTTCATGTACAGATTCAGCTCAGTTAGCGTCACATAATTTTATTATATGTATAGATTTATTGAGAAACTGAAACTTAGAATATAAGATGAAAACATGCAGCTATAGAGTAGATCTAAATAAAGGCACATAATCTATACATATAATAAAATTCTAACTCAGTCGAATTAGTACATTTAAATATTGTTTGAAAAATCTTATTGAAATAGTCATTATTGTAGAGCTCTATGCAGAGGCCGAATCTATAGTTTTAAGACATTTTCTGTCTGTTTGTCTGTCTGGAAACGCATCATGAGAAAACCATTGGACAGATTTTAATATAATTGGGTATGATGATGGCTGGTTTTCCCTTTTAAAACTTTCCTATTAGCTAGTATTATAATATATTTATGAATATTTTTCCAATAACATTTTACACTCTTATGCTATAGATCGATTAAAGCTGAGCTATAAAAAAACCTTTTACGTGTCTTACATAAGAATTATAAAATTTAAAATAGTACAGTACACCCTCTTTGAATATAAAACTCAAATAACTTAACGTAAAGAGGTCAAGTTCAGATGTTCACATAGAAATGCCACCTTGAATACTTGCGCTATGACTAGTTTTGAATTCATAGTGTAAATGATTTCGCCACTTCGCAAACACCCTCTCCGTTGGACTTTACAGAAGCCGATAAGTGCACAACTAAGGAATACCAATACTCGTTGTAACCAGCAATAGCGGAAAACGTACGCAGTATTAACGCTGATTTAAGAACCATGGACATTACCGAGGAGTATAATGTAGAATGTACTACATATAAGCTGCAGGTACTCACCAGTGGATCTACAACTTACAATTAGTTAAATCTCATCAAAATATTTCTAAAACCAAAACATACTAAAATAGTGAAAAAATATAATGATTATATTATTCAAATAATGTAAAGCAGAAGAATATTGTGTTTTGTTTGTTTGAACGATGTCCAACTTTAACACCTCAAGAAAATTTCTAAGAAATTGATTAAATTTGTAAGAAATCTATTGTTAACTGTAACGCCGGCGCGTCCGCGGTCCTTGAGGGATTAAACAACCAGCCTAATTTGAAAAATTCTTTTTACGTCTATTGATCGAGTAAGTTTTATAGAGTTTTTTAGGTATTTATCTAATATGCATCATACAGCAAATGCTGCCATTGCCTATTTATATGTAATAATGTATTTGATAGTTTTTAGTGAACGCGTTTAATAATTTTCAGAACTTTTCAACGAAACTCTCTTATGTAACATTATCATTCGTTACAGACGTGGAAAAAACATTTGTAAAAAATTATTACAAAATCCAAACAAGATAAAATATATCGGTTTGTAGAAGATACATCAACTGTACTAAAAATCCTAATACCTAATGCCATTTATATTCTACGAAATCGAAGTCAAGAGTATGAAATCATATTACATGTAGAAATATTAGAAACGATACAGACGCTATTAAAAGTTGCATCAATTTTGTACAAATTGTAAAAATATAAAAGATTGCCAGTTAATAATTTCATTTATGCAAATTATTTAATCAATTTGAATCGTCTAGACTCTAGACCATAGAGTTGTTATTTGCAAAAAATGATAATTCGGTTTCAAGGACATAGTTATAATTTAACGTTAATCAATCGAGGACATTAATCATATTATAATTTTAATTTCAATAGTATTTCTCATGAAAATAAATACTGCTTTTATTAAACAAAGCCTGACCAGTAAGTAGAAAAAAAACTTACAACTAGGTAGAAATTATTAGGCTAGATAAATGCAAAGACTAAAAAAGAAAATGATTTGTTTTTGGATACATGCAATTAAAATTTAGACGTATGTGTTACTTGTATAATCTATGGTATTACGCAATGGTGGTACGCACAAACCAACCCACTTTGTTATATTAATGTAAATGAATTAATCATAAAACTTTTGCATATTTTTTTCTTAATGATGCATTATACAGTTTTTTTTTCTATTTTTGTTTATATTTATATATTTGACCAGATTTGAAGTTTGAAGAATGTTAATAGTTTTAACAAGAAAATGTACCTTATTTTAATAATGTAAAAGTTCTAGTTTATACTGTCATTTTATTTGAAATTCATTTAGTAATAAAAAAATTGTTCGGTACAAGTCACTAGCGTGAATGAGAGCCTTGTGATTATGGAAATTTAGAGACTAGGGTTTTCGTTCTATTATTCCTGTAATAAATGAGGCCCCTACATGCATTACTTTTTTTCTCCTTCGGTGATTTCGGATCGGAGAAAAAAATGTACTATAATTATTATCTTTCTAATCGTTAATTTAAAAACATATTGGAATTCATCACAATAAGCTGTTCCATTAAAATAATGAACAGAATATATAAAAACAGACGCATGTAGGAGTAGTACACAGACAAACAATGACCTGGGATCCTGGACTAACACATCTAGGTAACTAACAGCAACAGTAGCTCGGGGGAAGTGAGCGAAAGTAGCAGCTAGCTAGTAGTAGCTAATATAATATTAGGGTTTTCATTATGTTTATTTATTTTAGTAATTAAAACTTGTACATAATTTTATGATTTTTGTCTTTCTAAAAAGCCAAATGGCGTTAAGCATTAGATAACTAATAAATTATTTATGGTAAATTAGAAAACAAAACAGTATAATTTAAAACACAATAATTGTACAGATATAACAGACTTTCTTCCTTTTTGGTTATAGAATATAAACAAAGAAAACTACTTGTAAGAGCTAGTAATAAACGGCTAGCGTTTCCTTTGCACTCACAGCAATTAACAGGTCCATGCGAAGTGTTTCGAACGCACTATACATGTTTCAACCTGGAAATGACTGGTATTTTTAAATATTTCAAAAGAACACAGAAAAATAGTACCTAATGCATTAAATTTAAAAACTTTTATTGTATGAAAGTATATAAGTCAATTTTCTTACTTGTAACTATAGTTAGTAAACAGTATTTGACAGTATTGTGAAGATATTTATTCTCCTCAATTATGCATGTTTATAATACTTATCATATGATTGTAGTAGTCATTTTATTTATTAGTAGTAATTTATTTATTTACTTATACGACGTTTCAGAGGCGGGAAAAACGTAGAAATTGGTGCTAAATATTGTAGACGTATGAAAATATTTAAATTAGTTATAATAGAATCTGCAATTTTTTTAATAAGTGACAATAGGGTATTATATCAAAACGCTTTGTAAACGTAAAAAGTATTATTATAAATAAACACATATTATTTATTATTTATTTTTTATTTGAATTAAATACATATTATTATTATTTGTATCTCTTCGGATTTCACAGACTCAAAGGAGCCGAGTCCTTTGGAAGGCTTGTGTAGTGACACGTAGAAACCTTATGTGGGCCAGAAACTTTAACATGCGTGTATTGAATAACTCACCAGACTTTCATCACAATCGGATCAATAGTTTAGGAATGCATAGAAGACAAACATACGAACACTGATTTTAACAATAGAAATTAACGTTGAATAAGTAAAGTGCGATCTTACTCCATTTTAAACTTAAAAAAGTGATAAACATTTTAATGCGGTTCCCAAAATATTTTGGTCCATATCATTTCTCATAGAATGACAGTTTGTTTGAAAAATCCCGGACTAAGAAGA